GGCCAGCCCAGCCCTAAACCACGACAATCTGCCATTACAGCATTGCTGTGTACTGTGTCGCTTTATACTAAATGAAGCCATAAAGAAACCACTTGCTAAGTCAACTATGAAGAATTACTCAGAGCTTTCAGAATTACTTAGAAATCAAAAGACTGACACTTCAGGATGAGTACCAAAGACAGCAAAAGCTACAGCTATGCAACATGGGCCTTTCTCATAACATTCAGATTTAACCACTGAAATAAGGGATTACTACCAGAAGACATGGAGCACAACCTCAGCAGGCTAGCAGTTCGTCATTACTGTTCAATGTAGAGCGGAAATGTGGTAATTTAGAAACAGGAGAGAAATAAACCAGATGAATAAGTAGCAGCTTCTCTGTTCAACAAATGGAAATCTCAAAGAGAAGGAAGGGTCTCATTTACCACTCTATACTGCCAACTAGAACACGTGAAAAACCTGTTACTGTCTCTTTCCTCCCCACTAGTCCTATTCAACACACATCCTCATCCAGTTACACAGCCTCAGCTGGGTCAGAATACCATCCCTCAGACTAGAGGAGTAACAGAAATACCCCTAAAAAGGTGTATATTAACTGACAGCAGGGGAAAACACGTGAGGTAAATATACTGCAAAGTAGACTGATAGCAGTCTGACACAAGTAAATTCAATTCCCATAACAGGATAAATATGGTATCAGCTGTCACACAGCACTGGAAGGAAAAAAGGAGACCATCAGCGCTGCTAACGCACCAAGATAGCTCAGCAGTACACTGTCAAAAACATCCATAAAGTGACTCTTAATGACAAATCCCCATAGAGAGAAGTTATAAGCAGAGTCCCCCAGGGCTCACTACTAAGGTCAATTCTCATTTGACAAATTATAGGTGACCTGGATAATGAAAAGTTATTTGTGTATGTCCACATTTGCAGGCAGGCACAGGAGAATAGTCAAATACTAAAGAAGGAAACAGAAAAGGGAAAAGAGCCAGTCAGTGTCAGAACAATTCTATCTAGGACAAGGCAATAAAAAAAGCGATGAAACTGGGCAAGGATAACAAGGGGAGAATGCAGACCCAGCCACAGCTGGAACTGCAGAAAAGGTGTACCATGAATGCTAACATAAGAACCATCTCCCCTGCGCTGGCCTGGCAGTGGCCAACACAAGCTTCCGTCTTCTCTCTCCCCTCTCACCACCTAAGGTACTTTGCCATCTGCCTTAGGCTGACCTCTGGTGCTGGTATAGCCCAAAGAGCTGCTGACTTCACACTGGTGCAGATGAGGCCGTGGGATCATCAGGATGTTGGATATCTTGCCCAGTGAGCTGTCATCAGAAGCCTGGCTCCTCACCTCCTCTGGAGGCAGCGTGCGGCTCTGCAGAGAGGGGCTGCACGAGACATCATAGGAACTCGAGCTCTTTCTGGTACGACTTTCTCGCTCCCTCACAGACCTGATGAAAAGAAACAGATATGTCCAGTGATATGAAAGAGATTATTCCTGGGTTAAAGGGGCTTGAACAGGCCCAAGTCACTTACAAGACTCAATGTTCAATAAGTGAACTCAAGAAGAGGACTACAAGGAAGCCATCACTTATTTTTTTTGACTATGTGGGTACTGTATACGTTGGTGCATCATACAAAAGGACAGAACACTACATTGCTTCCAGCACAACGGCTGTGAAAAGAGAATGCTCGACTCTTTACGCAGTTTTACAGACACAACACCAAGCTGGTAAACCAGGTGTGTTCTAGATGATACTAGACCTGAGCCTACCATGCAAGGAACACAGTTATGGGGAAACTACTCGGAATCATTAGCTACATTGAACTGTTCTGGCATCTTCCAGCATGGATTTCTACAAGCTGCTCGTATTAACAAGTGAGTCCACATGCACAGCTTCCTCAGATTTAGGTTATACTACTGAAGAAAGCAAGCAAAACAATACTTCAAGTTCATCAATTCTGTGTTCCTGAAAAAGTATTAAAACGTATAGGTTGTTCAATGAATTTGGCCAGGACCTGAGGATAATTAGCCTTTCTTCTCAGAGGAAAGGCCATGGAATATTTGAGAACCTGCACTCAGCTTCTCTGCTTCTTCTCTCATTCAGAAAGGTATCATTTTCAGGGAAGATTCCCCCCCACTCTACTTCACTACCGGTTACGAAGCAGTGCATCAAACTAATGCTATTTCTACAAGTCTGTGCAAGTGTATTGTGCAAGGACCTTCTTACCCAGCTTACAAAATGGCTGGGAACCTGGCAAGGCAGACCAACTTCATTCTACTTCAGACAAAATTAAAGATCTACAGAAAAAGTATACTTATGTCTTTTCCTAGATACCACACTCTATCTCAGAAGAAAAATACCAGACAAGAAGCCATAAACACCAGCTACAGGAAAAAGCTTTTTGTTCATTTGTAAGCACATGGAGCTTGATTTTTCTTCCGTTTCTCAAAGCACTTCGTGCATCAAGAAATACACCATAACATGGCTACTCTAGAACCAGTACACTCACAAGCCTCTTACCTGAAGGTGGTACAGCGCTGGGCTCTGGATGGGCCCGGCAGTCTGAACACCTGGGCATCATAGCCATCATAATCTACCTGGATAGGCAGTGTATTCTCAGCATCTTTTGGAGCCCCTAATGCTGAAATAAAAATCACGGATGTTCAAGATCTGCAAGTTAGAAGTATCCAACTCTCACCACTAAGTATCTATTCCAAAAGAAATCACATACAAAGTCTCATGAGCAGAAGGGCTGGAGCACCTCAGTTATCAAAGTTGGTGCCTCTGAATCAGGGTTACTGAGCCCCTAATATCTTTCCCCCATATATCCAAGACATTAAATTAATAATCAACAAATAAATCCCTGTATGAACAGATGCCTCAAGTTCCCTCATGAGGCAAATACACATTTTAAAGCATCTTTGAAAGAATGGACAGCCTCACTTACAGAATGCACACCTTCCTGAATCGAGGTGGTATTAGAAGAATGCAGGCTTCTCCCACTGCAATTCTGTGGTGATAGCACTGACAGCCTCCCAAGTCAGTGAATGCCCTCCTGTCCTACTCCCACAAACAGTACCACTAGCACACCAACCTGATACCATCTATTTCTCTAGCCAGGTGACAGAAATTCACCCCTCCATATCAGTTATTTGCCAAGAAGGCAACTGATACACGCACATTAACATCCTGGATAACGACTATGGGGTTTTGATGGTTTTCTGCAACGGTTTTTCCTTCCCACATCTGATCAGCAGTGTTTTGGCTTAAGCGTCATTGTCTTACTACAGCAGTTTGTTAGTTTGGGAGTCGGTGGGATAGATAATTCCAGAACAGAATTACTCACAGGCATCTCGGTTGTTTTTTGCTTTCTCAGTCAGTGGCTGGAGGGTCCAAGGAAGTGTGAAGTGACCAAAGAAAAAATAAAAAAAGAGAGCACAAGAGAAAATACAGAGAGAAGGGTGATAGTAAGCATGTTCTAAGGAAATATCCCCCTAAAGAAATATCCTCCATTGTGATCAAGCATCAGACTTAAAAGTTTATCCTGCTGACTCAGCAAGGCAGCCAGACCACTTCGAAGTATTAAATACTGATACTCAGTCACAAACCTGTGTAAAAACCACATTTTTGTCAACACCTTTCTTCCCTCCATGGAGTTCTTCTTTACAGAATAAAACTCAAATTTTCATAGTGGCTAAAACACCCAGTTTCATCCTCAAAAGGAAAGACCTACAATCTAGTCCCTCATTCACAATCCCTTCAACAGTAATTACAGCTTTGTTTTCACTGTTTTTTTGACACAGAAACTTAGTTACAGCTGTTAGAATATTTGCTAGAAGGATTCTGATTCCTGACTGAAAAAAGGTTTGACAAGAAGAAAAGATAAATCTGAAAGGTACCTACCTTCCTTCCTGCCAGCTTGATCCGCGGAGTGAAGCTGTTACACAGGAGCTGGCTTTTGGATGTGTAGAAACTGAAAGGAAAAACAAGGTGGCTCAGCTCTCCTCCAAGAATTGAACACAACTAGTTAGCTACATAATGAACAGCCCATGAATCTGAGCTAGCAATTGACAGATAGAAGGGGATACCTTTCTCCACATAAGACACATATAGAAAACATTGATGTATGGCTAACTTGAGAGAAGCTACTCTTCCCTTAAAGACCAGCCTTCGATTCCCATACAGCCTCAGCCTAGACCTCTTCTTAGTATGCTCACATCTGCATTCCCCGGTTCACTTCCTCTTTCTGCAGAAAGGTATCCACTTTCACTGCCTATGCAGTACTGTGCAGTTTATATGACCCTCCCCCTAATTTTTAGGATGGTAATGACTCACATCAGCTGCTTGAAAACTACAGACCTCCTCCTATTTGAAATAATTTATTCGTTAAGATCTGTTTCTTGTCATCTAAATCTTTTAATCCTGCCTCATTATAAGCCTCCAAACACCTTTTTTCATCTATGGCAAAGATCCAATGCCTTCCAGCCACTAGAAAATACTGGCTATGAGCAACCTATGAATGGCAATTGGTCAAGACAGTCAACTAATGCCTGCAGATAGAATGAGGTATTAAAAGAGAAAAAAAAAAATCCTACAGCAAAACAACACTCATGAGATAGTTTTCATCCTGAGCCC